GGGGAAGTAATCAGTAATTAGTTACTGATTACTTTTTTCAAGTAACTTGACCAACACTGTTCATGAACAAGTAACAGCCGAATCGTAACAACACCTGCTGACTGGCACTCGTATAGTGCATTTCCAGTATTATCACCCACTCAATAATATCTCCCCTTATAGTATCTCCATGGCCCCAACCCATCATGAGGAAATGTTTAGCTGGACTGCACATGGTGATGAAGGACCAGTTAAGCCTGATGTTAATTCTTCTTCTCTAAGGTGGCCACAGGGCTCCAGGATCTGGAGTTCACCGTTACTGACGTGATTGAAGGGAAGGAGTATTTGTTCAGAGTCACCGCCTGCAACAAATGTGGACCGGGAGAGCCAGCATATATTGACGAGCCAGTTAACGTCTCCTCTCCTGCAAGTGAGTAAAGGCAGTGTTCAATGTGTAATATTGATGTTAATGATAATACTGGCTGTCTCTATTAATCAAAATACTTAAACACATTCTTCGTACACGTGGAGTCAGAACAACACGAGAATTCCTTTCGATTAAACTGCTTCTGAGAAACTTTCTAAGCGCTCCAACTGTGTTTTTCTCCAGCTGTCCCCGACCCTCCAGAAAACCTGAGGTGGAGGGACAAGTCAGCCAGTGGCATCTTCCTGACCTGGGAGCCGCCAAAGTATGATGGCGGAAGCGGCATCCGGGGCTACAATGTTGAACGCTGTCAGAGGGGAACGGATAAGTGGGAGCCCTGTGGGGACTTGGTGCCTGAGCTGAAGTGCCAGGTGACGAATCTTATTGAGGGTCAGTGGTACTCTTACAGAATCAGAGCCCTGAACCGACTTGGAGCCAGCCGGCCCTGCAAAGCCACTGATGAGATCCAGGCTGTTGATCCTAAAGGTACTTGTGATGTAGTCCTCTTAGGACCATGAAATTGCATATGGTGTAATCCAAGGTTACAAGTTATTCCCTCGTATAAACTAAGCAAGCCATTCGTTTTACGTGGTCACACTGAGCTTGCTGTCCTCTTTACTCTATTATGACTATGGCATCTCAATGCCAACCTACTGACTGACTTCTTATCCTTAATTTCTATGCAGAGCCTCCAGAGATCCAGCTGGATGCCAAGCTTCTGGCTGGTCTGACTGCTAAGGCTGGCAGCAAGATTGAACTTCCTGCTGATGTGACAGGTAAGCCTGAGCCACGAGTCAAGTGGACCAAAGCCGACCTGGTCCTCAAACCAGACGACAGGGTGTCCATTGACACCAAGCCAGGACACTCCATGGTCACCATCGCCAAGACAAAGAGAGATGACAGTTCCACGTATATCATCGAAGCCACCAACAGCAGCGGTCGTGCCACCGCCACTGTGGATGTCAACATCCTTGGTAAGATTAATTAACGACTGAGAAAGGTACAGATTCTCCGTTTCTGCTGATTACAATTTTAAATCTTCTCTTCAAAACAGATAAGCCTGGTCCTCCTGCTGCTTTTGACATTTCTGAAATCACCAATGAGTCCTGCTTTCTGGCTTGGAACCCTCCACGTGATGATGGTGGCTCCAAAGTTACCAACTATATTGTTGAACGGCGAGCTGCTGATAGTGAGATCTGGCACAGACTGTCCTCCACTGTGAAGCAGACCACATACAAAGCTACCGGTCTGATCAAGTTCAAGGACTACATCTTCAGAGTATTTGCTGAAAACCAGTTTGGTGTTGGTCCAGCTGCTGAACACCCACCAATCACTGCCAAATACCCCTTTGGTAGGCTACCTTACATCTAATATCTGAGAAACAGAAATTTCCATTTCCAGTTTTCTCTTATGTAAAGATTCATATACAGTAGTATTTTTTCTGTTTGTTTGGATTGAAATGTCTGATGCAGCATTAAGATGGAAAAACAGCTTAATCGTACAGTTTTTTATAAGGTCCTGTGAGAGATTCTTGTTGTTGTTGATTCTCAGCTAATTGAAGAGTTTAGTGTGGAACATTTATCATAATCAGGCTTTTTTACTTGGTCAAGTACATCAAGTCTTCATGACTTGGACTAACCTGATGCATCTGATCTTGTCCTCAGATACTCCCGGGGCTCCTTACAAGCTGGAGGCTTCAGATATTGCAAAGGACTCTGTGAATCTGAACTGGTGTGAGCCCGATGAGGATGGAGGAAGCCCAATTACTGGATACTGGGTGGAGAGATACGAAGCTGACCATGACAAGTGGATGAGATGCAACAAGCTGCCGGTCAAAGACACAAACTACAGGTGAGCCTAGCTGTCACATTTCAGAACTGATGTTTATACATTGAGCTTCTTTGGTAGATTAGTGTGCTGATGTACATTTCCAACAGAAAAGTTTAAACTCAGGAATAATAGAAAAAGTACTGGTGCTCCTGATGTTTTCTGTTTTCTCTGATACTTCACTGAAATGAAATTCTTAACTATAAAAACACAGTACAACTATGTGGGATAGGTGGCTGGTCAAAACAAGTTATCCGGTCGTTAAGTGATGACGTGACGAATCCTACTTC